CAACGCTGCCATTTCCACCTTTGGCAAGAAGACCAGCAGGTCGGCAGACTGGTTCGAGGCTCACTCGGAAGAGATGACACCTGTAATCGAAGAGAAGAGAAACGCCTTGGCAGCCTACAAAGCCTGCCCAAGTCGGCGCAACTTACAGATCCTTCGGGCCGTCCGCTGCAAAGTGCAGCAGAGCGCCAGGCGATGTGCCAACAACTATTGGCTCCAGCTCTGCTCCCAGATACAGACTGCAGCGGATACAGGCAATGTAAGGGGAATGTATGACGGCATCAAGCAGGCCCTTGGCCCAATCCAGAGGAAGACCGCTCCTCTGAAATCTGCCACTGGCGAGGTGATTCAGGACCAGACACTGCAGCTGAAGCGCTGGGTCGAGCACTACTCTGAGCTATACGCCAGGGACAATGTGGTCACCGAAGATGCCCTGAGCGCCATTGAGTGTCTGCCTGTGTTAATGGAGCTCGACAGTGAACCGACCCTGGAAGAACTCAGCGATGCCCTAGACTCCCTTGCTTCTGGTAAAGCTCCTGGCAAAGATGGCATTCCTGCTGAGACCTTGAAGTGCTGCAGAGGTAGCCTGCTCATGGAGCTGCACGAAATTCTCTGCCTCTGCTGGGAAGAAGGAGAGGTGCCACAGGACATGAGGGATGCCAACATCGTCACACTGTATAAGAATAAAGGTGACAGGGGCGACTGCAACAACTACCGTGGAATCTCCCTCCTCAGTATTGTCGGAAAGCTGTTTGCTCGAGTCGCATTGAAGAGGCTCCAAGTACTTGCAGAGAGAGTTTATCCAGAATCACAATGTGGATTCAGAGCTGGCAGGTCCACCATCGACATGGTCTTTTCCCTCAGACAACTGCAGGAGAAATGCAGGGAACAGAAGCAGCCACTCTTTGTAGCCTTCATAGACCTGACGAAGGCCTTCGACCTCGTCAGCAGGGATGGCCTGTTCAAGATCCTCCCCAAGATCGGATGCCCACCCAGGCTCCTCAGCATCATCAGATCTTTCCATGAGAACATGAGGGGCACCGTGGTCTTTGATGGCCTAACATCAGGCGCCTTTGACATCCGAAGTGGAGTAAAGCAGGGCTGCGTACTGGCTCCAACCCTATTCGGGATTTTCTTCGCAGTTATGCTGCGGCACGCCTTCGGATCTGTCACGGAAGGCATTTACCTCCGGACCAGGTCGGATGGGAAGCTCTTTAACCTCGCCAGGCTGAGAGCCAAGACAAAGGTTCGGCTGAGGTGTCTGCGCGACTTCCTCTTTGCCGACGACGCAGCAGTCACTGCCCACTCAGCTGAAGACCTCCAACGGCTCATAACCCGCTTCAGCGAGGCCTCTCAGGCTTTCGGACTCACCATCAGTCTGAAGAAAACACAAGTCATGGGACAAGGAGTGGACTCCCCACCTGACATCGGCATCTCTGATTCCAAACTGGAAGTTGTTCACGACTTCGTGTACCTGGGCTCCACAATCTCTGACTCCCTCTCTCTTGATACGGAGCTAAACAAACGCATCGGTAAGGCATCTACTACCATGTCCAAACTGACAAAGAGAGTGTGGGCCAACAATAGGCTGACTGAGTATACTAAGATTCAGGTTTACAGATCCTGTGTCCTGAGCACTCTCCTTTATGGCAGTGAGTCTTGGACACTCCGTGCCCGTCAGGAAAGACGGCTGAATGCCTACCACATGCGCTGCCTTAGACACATCTTGGACATCACCTGGCAGGACAAGGTGACAAACAACAACGTCTTGGGGAGAGCAAGAATCACCAGCATGTACACAATGCTGAAACAGAGACGAATGCGCTGGCTCGGGCACGTTGTGCGAATGGGCGACGGCAGGATCCCCAAGGATCTCCTGTATGGAGAGCTGAGGCAGGGAAAGCGTCCAGTAGGCAAGCCCCAGCTACGGTACAAAGACGTATGCAAAAGGGACCTGAAAGCCATGGACGTCGATCTTGCTATATGGGAGACACTGGCTGCAGACCGTTCAGCCTGGAGGCAGTCTGTTCAACGAGGTCTCTCCAAGTTCGAGGAGTCACTTGCCAAGGAATCGGAGGCAAAGAGACAGAGAAGGAAAGCCGGTAACCAGGAAGACAGACCAGAATCGGACTTCGTTTGTGCTCGGTGTGGGATGGACTGCCACTCTCGGATTGGCCTCATCAGTCACACCAGACGCTGCACCAGGATTGACAACTAGGGCGCAACTCCATAGTCTCCCGAGACTGAAGGATGCCTACTACTAGTATGAGAATATTAGGTATATATATATATATATATATATATATATATATATATATATATATATATATATATATATATATATATATATATATATATATATATATATATATATATATATATATATATATATTATTAAATATGACCGAAAAAGTAAGATTAATAATTCTAACACGAATTTTCTCAATCTTTCGTACATTTCTTTTCACTGTTGGTGGTAATTCAAAAATCAATTCTCCAAAATTCTTTTTATTTCTAGTCTGACGCGACACTTGAGCGCGTTTCGTAAAACTTATTACATTTTCAAAGACTTTAGTTCACACAAACACAACTGAATAGAACTTACACATCTCCGATTTGTTTATATCTACATTTGAGTGAGGTGGATGGGGTGAGGTGGTATTAATAGGGTATTAATTTCATCAACACAAGACAGAACACGAAACAATGGGTATTGAATGGAAGTGATTGTAGAAAGCCTATTGGTCCATATTTCTTGATGCTTCTATATTGGAGCGGAGTCTTGAGGTGGGTAGAATATAGTTGTGCATTAATTGGCTGTTGATTGCTGGTGTTGACTTTTTAATGTGTAGTGCCTCGCAAACGTCAAGCCGCCTGCTATCGCTGTATCTATCGATGATTTCTGTGTTGTTTACTAGGATTTCTCTGGCGATGGTTTGGTTGTGGGAAGAGATTATATGTTCCTTAATGGAGCCCTGTTGCTTATGCATCGTTAAACGCCTAGAAAGAGATGTTGTTGTCTTGCCTATATACTTGGTTTTTTGGAGCTTACAGTCCCCAAGAGGGCATTTGAAGGCATAGACGACGTTGGTCTCTTTTAAAGCGTTCTGCTTTGTGTCTGGAGAGTTTCTCATGAGTAGGCTGGCCGTTTTTCTGGTTTTATAGTAAATCGTCAGTTGTATCCTCTGATTTTTGTCTGTAGGGATAACGTTTCTATTAACAATATCTTTCAGGACCCTTTCCTTCGTTTTATGAGCTGTGGAAAAGAAGTTCCTGTAAAATAGTCTAATAGGGGGTATAGGTGTTGTGTTAGTTGTCTCTTCAGAGGTTGCATGGCGTTTCACTTTCCTTCTTATGATGTCTTCGATGAAACCATTGGAGAAGCCGTTGTTGACTAGGACCTGCCTTACCCTACAGAGTTCTTCGTCGACTTGCTTCCATTCTGAGCTGTGGCTGAGAGCACGGTCGACATATGCGAATCATTAGCCAGATACCCACACCCACGTACAGACTTAGGTTAGGTAACCTAACCTAGGTTAGGTTAGGTTAGGTAGCCGAAAAAGTTAGGTTAGGTTAGGTTAGGTAGGTTAGGTAGTCGAAAAACAATTAATTCATGAAAACTTGGCTTATTAGGCAAATCGGGCCTTGCATAGTAGGCTGAGAAGTGCGTTCTGGCTACTAGGTACGACACACACACACACACACATATATATATATATATATATATATATATATATATATATATATATATATATATATATATATATATATATATATATATATATATATATATATATATATATATATATATATATATATATATATATATATATATATATATATATATATATATATATATACATATATGTATATGTGTCGTACCTAGTAGCCAGAACGCACTTCTCAGCCTACTATGCAAGGCCCGATTTGCCTAATAAGCCAAGTTTTACTGAATTAATATATTTTCTCTATTTTTTTTCTTATGAAATGATAAAGCTACCCATTTCATTATGTATCAGGTCAATTTTTTTTTATTAGAGTTAAAATTAACGTAGATATATGACCGAACCTAACAAACCCTCCCTAACCTAACCTAACCTATCTTTATAGGTTAGGTTAGGTTAGGTAGCCGAAAAAGTTACGTTAGGTTAGGTTAGGTAGGTTAGGTAGTCGAAAAAACCATTAATTCATGAAAACTTGGCTTATTAGGCAAATCGGGCTTTGCATAGTAGGCTGAGAAGTGCGTTCTGGCTACTAGGTACGACATATGCATATATATATATATATATATATATATATATATATATATATATATATATATATATATATATATATATATATATATATATATATATATATATATATATATATATATATATATATATATATATATATATATATATATATAACCATCAGTTGAGAGGCGGGCCAACCCTGGAGTATGCAGCCCCAGCACGGAGTCCACATCTGGTAAGGATAAGACTAAACTGGAAAAGGTTCAAAGGTTTGCCACCAGACTAGTATCCGAGCTGAGAGGTATGAGCTACGAGGAGAGACTACGGGAATTAAACCTCACTTCGCTGGAAGACAGATGAGTTAGGGGGGACATGATCACCACATTCAAGATTCTCAAGGGAATCAATAGGGTAGATAAAGACAGTCTATTTAACACAAGTGTCACATGCACTAGAGGACACAGGTGGAACCCGAGTGCCCAAATAACCCACAGAGATAATAGAAAGAACTTTTTTAGTGTCAGAGTGGTTGACAAATGAAATGCATTAGTAAGTGATGTGGTGGAGGCTGACTCCATACGCAGTTTCAAGTGCAGATATGTTAGAGCCCAACAGGCTCAGGAACCTGTACACCTGTTGATTGACGGTTGAGAGGTGGGACCAAAGAGCCAGAGCTCAACCCCCGCAAACACAACTAGGTGAATACAACTAGGTGATTACACACACACACTGAGGTGTTCAAAGCACCTTAAGACAACACAGACCTACCATGTCGGTAACCTGAACCTGGAAGCGGAATCCTCGTCTGTGATCGGGGTCTTCGAAGTCGAGAGGTTCTGTCGCCTTCAGGTTTCCCCAGGGCGCTGCCCTTGGGCCTTGCCCACCTTCCACCCGGAACATCTGCCACCCACGCCCACTGCCAGGCACCACCTGTAGGAAACACTGGTTCATACACCCACACAAGAAACCATCTGTGAGACAAGTTATCTCCTCACAGACAACCTTATCTTGAGGTTATCTTGAGATGATTTCGGGGCTTTAGTGTCCCCGCGGCCCGGTCCTCGACCAGGCCTCCACCCCCAGGAAGCAGCCCGTGACAGCTGACTAACTCCCAGGTTACATTATATTTGCATTATAGAAAACTCATGCATTCATTTTTCTTCCATTGAGCAGCCGATTTCAAATAAAGGTAATAAAATAAATCATATATAAAGTTTTATCAATTTCTTTATCCATATAATTATCATCATATTCATCGTGTACAAGATTATGATATTCATTATTTTGAACGAAATTAATATAAATTCTCCATTTAGCTGGAGAATTTAACACCACTAAACACAAGTGCAAATGTAAGTTCGACCTACTTCGTCTCCAATACGCTTAAAAGGAATACCGCGTCTTTAACCAAGGGTAATGGGAGTCACGAACAGCATTTAAAGAATATTTTGCTTCCAAATAATTAGTATCTGCGAAGTTTTCAGGCACCATCTGGAAACATCACTTGATTGAAGGTTAGATATGTGGTCGGGAAGGGGTGGAGAGGGAGTTGAACTGGTCCTGAAGGTCAAATGTGGGGGAAGGAACTGACCCTAAAGGTCAGGTGTGGGGGAAGAAGAACTGACCCTGAAGGTCAGGTGTGGGGGGAGAAGAACTGACCCTAAAGGTCAGGTGTGGGGGGAGAAGAACTGACCCTTAAGGTCAGGTATGGGGGGAGAAGAACTGACCCTGAAGGAGAAGTTGTTGGAGACGTCCTGATCGACGACGGTGAGGGTGGCGAGGACTTGGTCCAGGGTCAGACTCTCAGACACGTCCAGCGTCCACTCTGGCCGCGAGAACCTTGGCGGCACATCGTTCACGTCCCCCACCTCCACCACTACCGTCCCTGTCCCTGCAGGGGAAGGAAAAAGAGGTTCAGGGGCAGGAAAAAGGGGTTCAGGGGCACCCTTGTCACTGTCACTGCGGAAGAGAGACAGGTCTGAGAGACACTTGACACCGCTCGTGTCCCAGTACTGGGAGAGAAGTACCTCAGACACTTAGCACAAGAAGGGAAGGAGAGGAATGGAAGCGATTCGAAGTATCACATATAACATGAAACATTTTTTTATACACTAGTGAGATGACCACATATATCGACTTTTCGAGGAAACGTTATTTCAAGAGAGATTTGGTGATAAATTTCAGGATTTATCGAAAAGTAACACGAATTACAAAACGCAGGTCAACGTGGATTTAGAGGAGGAAAATCCTGCCATTCACAATTACTAAATACATAAAATCACGAAAGCCATAGGAAAAAAATGTAGATGTGGAATACACGAGAATTTTCGAAGGAATTTTCAAAGGTATCTATCGCTAATAAAATGAGGTCCACATGCAAGTGTCAGAGTGATTCGCTGAATATTCTGCTCCCTTATTAACAAGTCACACAGATTAACAGTTAAAAAAATGCAGTCGTAGCAGACAAAACCACAAGCCACAGCTTTGTGTTATCCTTCACAGGTAGTACCAAAATCAGCACGAGATATTTTACTATAGAAAACTCAGAAAAACTATAAATGTTTCCCCCAAAACATTTTCAAGTTGGCAAATTAAAGTGTAATATGGTATTCAACAGTTAAAAAAAAATTGCAACTAGATTGAATATACAAGATCTTATAGAACAGTAACAAGTAAAGGAATATACAAGATGTTATAGAACAGTAACAAGTAAAGGAATATACAAGATGTTATAGAACAGTAACAAGTAAAGGAATATACAAGATCTTATAGAACAGTAACAAGTAAAGGAATATACAAGATCTTATAGAACAGTAACAAGTAAAGGAATATACAAGATCTTATAGAACAGTAACAAGTAAAGGATCTTGTGACGATAATGTCTTAAAATCAACCGTTCAGTGAACTTAAAGTAAACTCAATATCAGCAAGGAAGATAACAGTGCAATATGACATCCGTCAAAACAAGGAAATCCACATCATTACTCCTGATTTACATCATAGTTGTGCTGTCCCACTTGGATTACTGCTCAGTATACACTTATACTTCCCTTATAAAAAAGAAAATGATAAGGAAGCGTATTATGGAATCAGTAAATGTTAAGGTTCCATAAGGACAATCAGTGACCTGCTGGAGTGACAATCCAGCATAAATACAATAATCGTGAACAAAGGCCAAGACACAAGTAAACTCTCAGTGTATATACACCGAGAAGCGAGGTACGCCTGCGTTCCGTGGTGATCACAGAGGTCAACGAGGTACAAGCCTAAATAATTCTTGTTAGCAATTTTATCTTTTACATCGGGTTGGGATCGCTGACTTCTAAATATATTAACTAAATATATAGACATAATTTAGAACACGAAAGAATAGATGCTAACTGGATATGTTTAAAAGAACTGGAAAATAACCGGTTTGGAAGTAGGGTTGGATGTTTATGGAACAAAACACCTGGTAACATAACAATCGGGGTTCTCGTTGATTTGTTTTACGTAGTGATTAGACAAACATTTACATACGAGCTTGGACAGGTATCACCAGAAATTGTCTCGCGTGGGACAAGCAGCCGTTTGCAGTTTCCTCTAATATTCTCACAAGCTTTTCAGTAACTGCGGTACACTATCTTGTGGTTGACACGTCATGGGTGCCAACTGTTGAATACTACACAACATATATTTGGTAAATGCACTCTAGTCCCCTTCGGTACCACTAGAAAACCCCATAGTATATTAATCCAAAACGCTAGCTGCGGTTCACTACTAAAGAAGCTTCCTGCGGTACACTCACCCTTGAGGCCACCGCCGTCAGTGGCCACAACCTGGACGGTGTACCGTTGAGTCTTCTCGCGGTCGAGGCAACAGAGCGCCGTGGTGATGAGCCCCAGCTGACTGTCGATGCTGAAGATGGGGCTCCCGCTCGACTCGTCCACGGCGTTCTTCTCCAGCGAGTACGTCACCTTGGCGTTGTCTGCCTCCTGGGGGTCGTCGTGGTCCGTGGCTACCACCTGCACCACAGACGCTCCTGCCAATGGTCAAACATATCAGTCCTGATACAAACTTTAAAACAATCGTAATATATCAGCTAATTTGACACTGTTCAGAAGATGGTACAGTAGTTCATTTAGATTAGCTTTTGAAAAAGATAGATAAATTTTATCCAAGTCCAAAAGTTCCGAAGAGCTATACACTCGTGTTCCACTCTCCTGCACAAGGTATCTTAGCTCCCCCAACACTTTTCGAAGTATTATGCATTTTAATTATAAAATGAAGGGCAGTGTGTATGTATCCCTCAACGTACAACCAAACACAGGGCAGGACCTAACAGGTATGTACCCACACTATTTAACCAATAACAAAACAGAACTCCCTATACAAATAATTACGATGCAGGACCACTTTGCACTGCAATATTCCAGACCATTATCTTGTTTAATGGAGAATATTCCAAACCATTCTCGATCTACCGTTCAACCACTTGCGCTGAACGGTAGAGCAACGGTCTTGCTTCATGCAGGTCGCCGTTCAATTCCCGACCGTCCAAGTGATTGGGCACCATTCCTTTCCCCCGTCCCAGCCTAAACCATTATTCTGACCCCTTCCTAGTGCTATATAGTCGTAACAGTTTGGCGCTTCTCCTGATAGTTCCGTTTTCTTTTTCTTTTTAGATGGTATGTTTTGTAACCATGTGCACCATGGTATAAAGTTATACTATCTATTCACTCTATACAGTTGAAAAAATAAAGCTAATAAACTTAAATATTCATAGGCCTAGTATAGCGCACATGTTTACTATATTAGTCGTATATATATGACTCGACACGACGTACTACTTATGTATAGTGTGTGTGTGCGTGTACCCACCTATTTGTACTCACCTATTTGTGCTTGCGGGGGTTTAGCTTTGGCTCTTTGGTTCAGCCTCTCAACAGGTGTACAGATTCCTGAGCAAACTGGGCTCTATCATACCTACATATGAAACTGTGCATGGAGTCTGCCTCCACCACATCACTGCCTAATGCATTCCATCTGTTAACTACTCTGACACTGAAAAAGTTCTTTCTAACGTCTCTGTGGCTCATGTGGGTACTCAGTTTCCACCTGTGTCCCCTTGTTCGAGTACCACCAGTGTTGAATAGTTTATCCTTGTCTACCCGGTCGATTCCCTTGAGGATTTTGAAGTTTGTGATCATGTCTCCCCTACTCTTCTGTCTTTCAGTGTCGTAAGGCGCATTACCCGCAGCCTTTCCTCGTAACTCATACCTCTTAGCTCTTGGACTAGTCTAGTGGCATACCTTTGAACTTTTTCCAGCATCGTTTTGTGCATGACAAGGTACGGGTTCCATGGCGGGGCCGCATACTCCAGGATTGGTCTTACATATGTGGTGTACAAGATTCTGAATGATTCCTTACACAGGTTTCTGAAGGCTGTTCTGATGTTAGCCAGCCTCGCATATGCCGCAGACGTTATTCTTTTTATGTGGGCTTCAGGAGACAGGCTTGGTGTGATATCAACTCCTAGATCTTTCTCTCTGTCCGTCTCATTAAGTACTTCATCTCCTATTCTGTATCCTGTGTCTGGCCTCCTGTTTCCACTGCCTATTTTCATTACTTTGCATTTACTCGTGTTGAACTTCAACAGCTATTTGTTGGGCCATTCATTCAGTCTGTCTAGGTCATCTTGTAGCCTCCAACTATCATCCTCTGTTTCAATCCTCCTCATAATTTTTGCATCATCAACAAACATTGAGAGAAACGAATCTGTACCCTCTGGAAGATCATTTACATATATCAGAAACAGTATAGGTCCAAGGACTGACCCCTGCGGGACTCCACTTTTAACGTCTCGCCAATCTGAGACCTCACCCCTCACTTTGACTCGTTGTCTCCTGTTGCTTAGGTACTCCTTTATCCAATGGAGTACCTTCCCTTACACTCCAGCCTGCCTCTCCAGCTTTTTCCCTAGCCTCTTGTGTGGTACTGTATCGAAGTCTTTCTGGCAATCCAAAAATATGCAGTCTGCCCACCCTTCTCTTTTTAGCTTGATTTTTTTTTGCCTGGTCGTAGAATTCAAGTAACCCTGTGAGGCAGGACTTGCCATCCCTGAACCCATGTTGATGCTGTGTTACAAAGTTCTTTCTCTTCAGATGTTCCACTAGCTTTCTTCGCACAATCTTCTCCATCAGCTTGCATGGTATGCAGGTCAGGGACACTGACCTGTTGTTCAGTGCCTCATGTCTATCCCCTTTCTTGTATATCGGGACTACGTTAGCTGCTTTCCAAGTTTCTGGCAGTTCCCCTGTTGCCAGTGATTTGTTATACACTATGGAGAGTGGCAGGCACAGTTCTTCTGCTCCTTCCTTTAGTATCAAAGGGGAAATTCCATCTGGGCCTATAGCCTTTGTCACATCCATCTCTAGTAAACACTTCCTTACTTCCCCGCTGGTAATCTCAACCTCTTCCAGTGGTTCCTGGTTAGCTATTCCCTCTCTTATCTCTGGAATTTCTTCTTGCTCTAAGGTGAAGACCTCATCGAATTTCTTATTCAGTTCCTCACACACTTCCTTGTCGTTTGTAGTGAATCCTTGTGCTTCAATCATTAATTTCATAACCTGTTCCTTTACTGTTGTTTTTGTCCTGATGTGGCTGTGCAGCATACCTGTATTCACCTAGATGTATTCACCTAGTTCTGCTTGCCTGGGAAGAGTTCTGTTCTTTTGGCCCGCCTCTTAACTGCCAATCAACTGTTTCTACTACTACTACTACTACTATTTTTTCCCCACACCCCACACACACAGACACACACACACACACACAGACACACACACCAGGAAGCAGCCCGTGACAGTTGACTAATTCCCAGGTATCTATTTACTGCTAGGTAACAGGGGCATAGGGTGAAAGAAACTCTGCCCATCGTTTTTCGCCGGTGCCTGGGATCGAACTCGGGACCACAGGATCCCGTGTCGAGCGTTTTGTCCGCTCGGCCACAGGCTCCCACGTGTGTATGTGTGTGTGTGTGTGTGTGTGTGTGTGTGTGTGTGTGTGTGTGTGTGTGTGTGTGTGTGTGTGTGTGTGTGTGTGTGTGTGTTTTCTGAGCTTGCTGTACTCACCTAGTTGTGCTTGCGGGGAATTAGCTCTCTTTTGTCCTGACACTCAACTGTCAATTAACTGGTGTACAGATTCCTGAGCCAACTTGGTTCTATCATATCTACATTTGAAAATGTGTATGGAGTCTCCCTCCACAGGAAGACACACACACACACACAGGTGTGTGTGTGTGTATTCACCTAGTTGTGCTTGTGGGGGGTTGAACTCTGCTCCTTCGGCCTGCCTCTCAACTGTTAATAACTGTTAAGAACTATTAACTATTTTATTTATTTATTTATTTATTTATTAACTAGCTGAACCCAGCCACAGCAACCTTCCCCTGTCTCCCAGTCCTCCCCCACCACTCCCCCTCCCCTCACCTGTCCCCTCATCCTCCCAACCATTCCTCACTCACCCATCCCCTCGTCCTCCCCACCATTTCCCCCTTCCCCCATCCCCTTTTCCTCCCCACCATCCCCCAGTCCACCGTCCCCTCGTCCTTTTAACCATTCCCCACTCCACCGTCCCATCATCCTCCCCACCATCTTTCCCTCCCTATCCCCTCGTCCTCCTCTTCATCTCCCCTTCCTTACCCCCCCACCCCATCCTCCCCACCAGTACCCCCTCCCCAGACCCCTCGCCCTCCCACCATCCCTCACTCCCATCCCTTAGTCCTCCCCACCATTCCCCACTCCCTCGTCCAATGCAATCCTAAATGATCTGATGTTCCCATCACTAAAATATAAGAAAAGCAGTTAAAAAACAAAATGAAAGCCAATCTATATAAATAAAAATGGAAATGTTCGTTTGTTCAAAATTGCTAATCTCCGAAAGTTCTTCACCAATTGCCTTGAAATTTTCACACAACGTTCCATTCGCATCTGAGCGGGTTTTTATATACATACGATATAGATGTCACGTCTGTGACGGGAAAAAACATGCTTTTTGAGAAAAGTTGTGTTTTTTGTGTGTTTTTCAAGTGAGGGAAATCTTCGAAATCTCTTTAATGATTGCTGCCTATCACATGCCTCTGTATGACTAACTTTCCTGTGTGATGGGGATTTTTTAGCATCATCTAGTTAGCTGTTTTGACACACTGTACTCCACTTCATATAGTCTAGGGTAGCTGCACTAATGCAGATGTACCTAATGTATTAATAAAAAAAATTACTGATTGCTTTGAAATCTTGAAACAACATTGCATTCGAATAGGCGAGTGTTTTTATATACCTACTATATACATGCCTCACCTGTGACGAGAGAAAACATGTTTTGTTTTTTAAGAGCAGAGCCATCTGTAGGACGTATGAGCAACATACGCACTGTAATCTCTTAAAGTTCTTCACCGATTGCTTCAAAATCTTGACACAACGTTCCATTCGAATATGTGAATGTTTTGATATATCTACTATTTAGATGCCACACCTGTGACAGGTAAAAATATGCATTTTTTTGAAAAACAGCGCCATCTGTTGCACGTAAGAGCAACATACGATATACAAGATATGTTACGATTCAACTTCAATGTTTCCGATTGCATTGATATATTGAATTTTCATTGATTTCTTTGACTTATTTTCATTTTGATTTAATTATTTTGCGTGACATTGCGTTGGAATTGAGCTGTGTTGTTTACCATACCGTTCATTTCGTGGGTGTAGCTTATTTGTTTCTTTTTTCATTTTTTCATTCCGTTTTTTGTCCTGTTCTTCTTATTTTTCAATGCAATTGGTGGTGAAATTGAGCTGTGCCAATTGTTCGGCGTTTGAATTGAAATATTTCGTTATTATTTTTTTTTTTAAACATGAAAATGGACAACACGTTTATTTCACAGCTGCAAATGTGCAACAAACATCCATGAATCCACCGGCTACAACAAATTCTGCCCGAAACGCTTTGCGTAATAGTGGCTTTAGGCATTCTATGTACTAGCTC